GAGCCGATTCCAGTAGTTTTGACGGCAAGTGTAGATAAAATATTTTCAGCTTTGAGCTATATCAAGAACGAATTTCGAAGTCGAATTCACGACCAGTTTGCTAATGGTTGTTTAGTGAGATCCATTGAAAATGGCTTACTTAATAATGTAAATAATGTATGTATGCTGTGTTTCTTTCATAATATAAAAACTCGAGTAGTCTTTATTTTTTATATATGAAAATAATTTTTTTTATAAGGTAATATAGATTTTTTTTTATCATTAATGTACTACTTAAGGAATTCAAACCTGGGACCTCCAGGTTCTAGGCTAGAGGTGTTACCACTAGATCAAACCCTTGTTCATGAAAATAAAGTATTTATATATTTATAATCTACAAAATACGGCAATGTAAAAAAAAAACAATTTTGCCACGTCAGTCCCTTCTCAATAACCCGCACACTGCGGATGGGCCTTTCGGTAATTCCTCAATATTTATCTTTCTCGGTATCTCTGTCGCGGGTCTCGCCAAAACGTCCCGAAAATCTGACTCATCTCTATCTCTCACCTTCTATATTCCAAACCCTCCCGGAAGAAATTCTCGGCGTGCCCCCTTCCCTTTCCTCCCGCCGCCGCTTCTTTGTTCCTCCCGCCACTGCATTGTTCCCCTTGCCTTTAATCTTCCACCGCCGGACCTCAATCCCTATTTCGTAAATACACAGACTAGGAGGGCAAACCGGTTAATTTGTCAATTCTTCGCTGTGCACCCCAAAATTGCTCTGAAAATCTAAATAAAAGGTTGTTGTCGATCACTTGATATATGATGAGATATGAGTGAAAAAGGCTTATTTGGCTATTGCATGGTGGTGAAAAATTGAGGTTTTGCAGAGAAGCGGAAACGAAATTATAGCTAGCTTCCTCTGCGTTGTAGAAGAAAGAGAGAGGGTTGTGAGGGGGAGAGAGATTTGGGTTGTAGAAGAAACTAGAAAGTGACTGATGGTAGTGGATGAGGGATAAGATGAGAAAGAAAATAATTAATATAATAATAATAAAATAAAAATGTAACAAATATTGACAGACGTATAATATTGACCAAGGTTCATTATCAGTGGATATAAGATAATATAAACTATCTATAAATTTTGGTCCTCGATTTTTAATTTACGACATATATACGTATACTAATTCTATTGAATAGCGGCCAACAAAACATACTATATTTCTATAATATTGTCTTCGTATTGATTTAATTAAAATAATACAGTGATTAGTAGTTATATCCGTGTACTTAATTTGATTTCTTCTAAAATATGTTCTCTTGCGCTATTGCTTCACAAATTAATTTACTATTTGATCTTAATTTTTCTTTGATTTGATCGGTATTCATGAAATTCATAGTGAAAAGTCTTAAATTAAGAAGCAAACTTCATACCATAGGCTTCGACATAAAAATTAACCTTGGATAGTTAACTTTGAAGGTTAGAGAAATTCAAATCATATGGAAAGCATAAGAAATCACTAGCCTATTACAAGTATACAATTCTTTAGTGATAGTTGAGCGCATCAGAAAAAAAAATTCCCATTCAGAACTTAAAACTTAGTATAGAGTACTATGAAGAATCCAAGCCAAATTGTCAGCAAACCGTAAGAAAATTAAAGAAATTAATAAATCAGTTAAAAATTGGACAATATAATATTAGTTAGTATAGAAATAATGAAGATAAACTAATTATCATATCGCAGATGAATTTTTATAAAGGTGAAACTTATAACTCAGTTAAAAATTATAGAAGCAGCTACAGCCAAGAGATGATCAGTGGAAATGGATGCTTATGAATTCCAGATTATTAGCTTTGCTTTATAACTTCCTACTACGTACTACTTCAACAACACACTTAATCTGCAAAATGATAGACTATAGTCTGTAGTTCTCTTGAGCCTAGAGTGTGTAGCAGAGATTCTTGCCCATTTATGCATTACTTTATTTCCTCACAAATGTGGAGGATTGCGTTTGGATATAGTTTAATCATCTTCATGCAACTTTTTGACCAAGTATTTCTTGATTACCCTTACATTCCGTGGAATTGACAACTACAATGGATTTTATCTGGTTATAGTGCTCTTATGTTGATGCTATTTGAGTTTTCTTTTTACGAATAAAATCTTATCATTAGCTCGATATTTGGTTAACCTTCAAATTATGCTACTTAATCCTCTCTCCATTCTTCGAAGTTCTATAGGACACCGGCCAACGGGCCGGGTCCAATACTAGTATGAATTAAGAACATGGGTAGTTTGAAATTCTACCTCCACCACTAAGTTTCGAGCTGACCAATTTAACTCATCCGCTTTCTCAGCCTATAAGCAAGCGTGTGTGGTTAAAAGTTACTTAGATCCTCCCTCTTTTCACCAAAGTGTGTGATTAGTCCAATCACTTCACCCTTTAAAGAGAGAAACCTATTTAAACTCATGTACACTTAGTTTCTCTAAGTCTTGCTGTAATCGTCCACTAGATCTCCCCACACGAGATAACTTTGATTAGATTATGGTCTTCATAGTAGCAATGTGAGTTTGAATACATCCATTTTTCTACCAATCGTGGAACCATCAATTGAATGAACCTTTGATTCGGATTGATCATTTATGGATTTAAAATATGAAGACATCTCCGCAAATTTCCATATTTACAAGATATTACAGTATATGATTTCATCGCATCATCCAGAAATGAGATATGGATTTCCTGTTCCATAGAAGCCTGCTAGCAAGCCACCACCCATTGTCCATTGATGTGTGGACAAACTGCTCAAATCGCATTTTGAGTCTCGATAGTCGAAGTAAAAACCGAAATCTCTATGGAATCTTCTTTTTTTTTTTTTTTTTTGACCAAGCTCTATGGAATCTTCAATAGAAACTTTTGGGCTAAATTCACGTTTGGTCACTCGAATTATATTAATCGTTCACGTTTGCCACCCGAATTACTTTTCTTTCTTATTCACCACTAATTTTACGAATCGTTTCACAGTTAGTCACCGGCCGTTACACTCTGTTAAATTTTTCATACGTGGCAGTCAACTATAAAATTTGACCGTTAACTAGATGACGTGAAAATTTAAAAAAATTTATTTATTTGTCCACCTCATCATTAATTAAATTAAAAAAAGAAATAAAATGATTAATTTATTCTCCAAATCTGACGGACGAGATTGCCATTGTACGCAGCCGAGTTCGCCACGCTAGCGTCGATCTCGCTCTGGTCGCCCTTCGACGGCCATCCCGTCTCCGAGACCACCATCTCGATGTCGTCGAGCTTCAGCGCCGACATTGCAGCGAGCACGGTGTCGATCTGGGCGTCGAAGAGGCTGAAGTACCTCAGCCCGCTATCGGCGCTGACGACGCCGAGAATCTCCCGAAACAGAGCATACGTAGTCCAGCTAGATGACGTCGAAATTCGCTTCGTAAGCAAAGAACGGGTAAGCGTTCACCATCAGGTACGAGTCGGTCTCGCGGAGGCACTCCGGCATTAGGCGGAAAACTGACTTGACGAGATCCTGCTGGAACGACCCCGCCGACGATGGGTAAGAGTTCTGAAGTGCGCTGAGAGCGATTAGGGAAGAGACCTTGATGGCGGAATGGAGGTTGGATTTCACCAGCGTCTACTGGAGGTTGTGCGTGTCAACGAACAATTCGTTCCCGACGGTAATGGCCTCGATCTTGGTTCCCAGATGGTAAGCGCCGACGTTTCTGCACCCATGTGGTTGCGAAGGAAGGTTTCTTCACGACGGATTCTGCCAGAGATCGGCCTTGGGCAAATCGACGGTGACCTTAATTTCGGACCCGGCCAGAGATCGGAGCGCGATTCTGTCGTAGTTGACCCCGATCGAGCCCGGCCCATCTGCCCAAAAAAAAATGTACATAAGAAATCGTTGTAAAAGAAATTGCCGAAAAGGGAAGATGAGGTAGCGGAATTGCTATAAATTACCTGCGAAGAAAGGGGTGAAGAGGAGGAGCAAGGTTTGGAGAAGAAAGGAGACGGGGGCGCCATGGCTCTCTGTTTTTTCAGAATAAATTAATTATATTCTTCATTTATATTTTTGTAATTCAATAAATTAATCATATTATTTATTTTTGTAATTCAAGTTCTGAAGGCGGAGAATAAATCAATCATATTATATATTTTTATAATTTAATTAATTTTTATTTTTTTTAATTTCCATGTCATCTAGTTAACGGTCAAACTTTATAGTTGACTGCCACGTAGGACAAATTTAACGGACTGTAACGACCGGTGACTAACGGTGAAACGATTCGTAAAGTTAGTGGTGAATAAGAAAGAAAAGTAATTCGGGTAGCAAACGTGAAAGATTTGTATAATTCGAGTGATCAACGTGTAATTTAGCCGAAATTTTTGCAAAGGCAAAGATAAACCATCAACCAGAGAAAATAAGAGGGCCAAGGCAGTGCAAAAGGATTTTTTTTATTTGCATTTTGTTAGTATATGATTTTTCATATCAATACTTCCATAAGATAAATCCACCCCGCAGTCTAAGGGTGGACACCTCGTTCGAATTTCTCGAACCGAAAAAAAGCCAAATTAGCTCACATTTGGTTGTGTAACCGATCTTGTCCATTATCGGTTTGGTTCATTCCGAGCCAATATTCCGAATTCCAACCCGGGCTCTGATTACCAGGCCCGACCGAACTTCGCATTACCTCTCATCTTAAAGCCCCAATTCCCAGGTCCAGCACCATCCATCCCTAAGCCCAACTGCCCAAGGGCCTAGACAAACACTCGAGTCCAACCCAATTCCCACTCCCTTTGATCCCAGAGGACCCAGACGCCGGTTCTTCTGATAACCATGGTCAAATTCCATTTTAAACGGCAAAAATTCGGGGAAAGGAAGAGAGAAGGAAATACGAAACCTAGTCCGGACCCTGGAACAGACATTACCCAACTGACCCGAACTGCTGCTTTCAAGAACCAGAAAAGGGAAAAGTTTCAAACTTCTTCAGAGGGAAAGATGCAGAAGATGGTGGCTCTCAGGTCCCTATATCGTGCAGCTTCTTGTAGATCTTTGATAGGCTTTGCATCTGTTGCCGGCAACCAGCTCCTTCACCATCAATCAGCTCCTCGATCCCTATTCACTCTCTCGTCCGCCACCGCTTCTGTGGATCGCATCCCTTTCGGTATGGCTCTTTTCGACCCAAACTTTCCGGTTATGGTTTTCAACCTTTTGCGTACTTCTTTGGTTCGCAATTTGATCATCACCATTGAAGTTATTATCTAATTTGAGGACTTTTGAAATTCTGGGTCGATTTATTAGCGAATTTGGTGAACTGGGTGGAATGAAACTGCGCTGATAGGAAAATAAAGCAGTAGCCTTTATCTGAATATTTTCGTTCCCAATTATGTCATTCTGCTCAGCTAATCCACCATCACTTGAAAGTTGAAACTGAGTCCTTCGTTTCCCATCTCTGGCTGTTTAGCTTCTCTCCCATGTTTTATATTCAGAATTGTATGCTTTACATCTTGTTAGCAGTTAGCACATATGTAATGTATGAGATGTTGGTATCTGTGCCTAGCTGTTAGAAGTGAACCAGCAATTGTCATGGATGTGAAATTCATCAAGGCTTATGCCAATTAGGTGGATATAATGATTGATTTTATCCGCCAACGCCTGTCTGTGTGAAGTTGATGCTACCTTGAAAATGATAGTTCATGCCTCTTTTGACTCGGGTTTTCTTGGTCGTGCTTGTTGTTAGGTTCCTGGTCTCCTCTGGCAATCAACATTGGTAGTAAAAGGTCTTATAGTGAGGATGTAGCACACTTGCCCGAGATTAAGGACCCTGATGTCTTATGTGCTTTCAAGGACTTGATGGCTGCAAGTTGGGATGAACTTGACGCTACAGTCATCCATGATGTGAAGAATGCTCTGCCCAAGAACTCTGATGACAAATCCGGTCAAGAGATCTTGAAGAATATTTTCCAGTCAGCTGAAGCTGTCGAAGAATTCAGTGGGAGGGTCATGTCTCTAAAGATGGAGCTAGATGACAGTATTGGGATGAGTGGCGAGGTATGCTGGCCTTGGGTTCAAAGATGATATTTTTGAAGATGAAATATGCTGGCCTTGGATCAGAGTGGGGCAAGGTATTAAGACTTGCTCGATTTTAGTGAATGCTAATTAACTGGAATTCACGATTTAGATTATCCTTCAATCTATTGCCTTTTGCTTTCATGGGTTCCTACTCTAGGGATCTTTTCTTTCCATCTATTTTGCCTCAAAATGCTTGATGCAGTTGCATAGTGGTTTCATCTTCTTTTTAGTTAGATGAGCTCGTCATGGCTTTAACATGTTAATAATGGTAATTGTTTTGAATCCAAGGGCTTACTAGCTTTTATCTTATTTCCAATCTAGAATCTGATACGTGGGAATAGACATGGCAACATGATAGAACAGTAAACTTTGCATCCTTCTGCAGTAGTCTATTTTATTCTCAAAACACTTTCAAAGGTTTTTGTCTTTGTTGCAAGTTGCAAGAACTCTAAGGCAGCCTGCCTGATCTAGTGCCTTTCCGCCATAGCCAGGAATCAGAGGGAGACTTAGGCAGAGGTGGGAGCAAAACAGCTTTCCTGCAGAGACCGAATGGCCACCCTTCGCAGTTGCAGAGCTCCTGCAATATCGAAAACCGCCTATGAAAACTTGGGAACTCTACCCGACTCAAGCTCGAACACCTCGACAACAAGTTTGTCTTCACTGAGAAGAACTCTACGCCCCCCTTGCTCAAACCGCTTGAACAACATGAAAGACAGCTACCAACTGAGAAGAAATCTTCCTCCTTTTCAACTTCTCCATCCTTCTGCTTCTCAGGATTAAAGAACAGCTCCCCTGAAAAGCTATATGTGATCACAAACACCTTCTGCTTCGACTTCTCCATGGCTCTGCTCCTGATTGCTGACACGACAACCTGAAAAATGAAACAATATAGTTATTATCATAGAGACATAAACAGATTCATGTGATTTGTTTTTTATATGTCCGTACAGGAAAATTGAACAGTTTGAAGAAGTGGAAAGTACTTCATGCTCATCAACATCTTCGAGTTCAGTTGTTGTGTTAGGAACATAATTCTCATCCTGCTGCTGCTGGAGAGAGCTTATGTGGTCGCCGCAAGATCGACAGATGGATAAGGAATCTTTGAGAGTTGAAACCAGGAGGAACTTGAATTTCTTTGATGGGTTTTGTGGGGGTGGCTCTTCCTGATAGAACACACCCATTTTGGATTCAGAGAGAGGAATTATGACAATACACAGAAAGCTAACACTTTGGTGGGGGAAATGATGCTTAACTTTGCTATAAAGAAGAAGGGATAAAAAGGGAGGAAGAGCAAGCACCATGGAATGTGGACTCAATCTTGGTTGATGTCCAAATTGACCTCAGAACTTGATGGTGACTTTGCAGTTGCTCACCTCAAAGATACTGCTAAGAGTGTTCTTGTTGTTGGCTTAAGTGTAAAGATAAAGTTTTTAAGGGCACAAATCAGAAATTACCCACTTGAGACAAGGTGCTTATTTCGTCACTTTCAATCCCCCACTTTGAAGATGAAGCCTTGTTATGGTGAAAAGGAGACAAGACATTACACCAAATTGTGTGTGACTGGTTTTCCTTTTTCTTTCATTGCACCCTCCTTTTTGAAGTCGTTCATTACTGGAAAATGATAACTGCCTTTGAACAATCAATGTGCAAAAGAAACCTGAAAATTAACTGGGGAAAGATGGTGATGGTGATGGTTCTTTAGCTCTGAATATTATGTATGTCGGTAAATGCATATTTTAAACTTATTTTTACTCTTTAATGCATACAATCAATGAAATTTGAATATTCTGTTAAATGAGGTAGGCATAAGCAATTAAGCACCATATTTCACGTTCAAATTTATCACAATTCAAAAGTGAAATCCTTCTACAGATTTGCAGTTTTCAAGCGTTCACGAATTGGGAAATAGGCTTGATCTCGTCGGGCATGATCTTATTGCAAGGTCAAGACCATTTATGGAGGGGGGAAAAGGAAAGGGATTTGGCAACACAACTTATCTTCCAAGTCTTGGAATAGGATTACATGGCAGGAAAATTGATCGACAAAGTTGATCGCAGACCTCTCATAGTAATCCTTCTTGTCACCTGTAACCAATTGGGAACTTCGTTATCCTCAGCATAATTAGAAATCACAAGAAGTATATTCATCAAAAAAAATTGTCCATTACCAACAAAACTATCAATATAAAGGGGTTCAACTTTCCCTGCTGCAGGTTCAACTTTCTGATCTCTTAACTTCATTTTAACAATCTTTATTCAAGAGGGTAAGGTGCACATGCCTTTTCCAATAGAAATTTATGTCAATGTTCCCCTTTATTGTTTGTAACAGTTTTTATTGAGAAGAAAGTCGATCCCGGCCAAAGATATCCACACAATAAAACCAGAGGGACGATAGAAACCAGAAGTAAAACACATACACACATTGACAACCAAGGATATCCAAATGCTTCACATAATTTCTGACCTCCAATATTTCATAATAATCCTAAGGATCATGTACTTACCCCATACAAGGAAGATCCAGCTTTAAATGTGTCTTTGAAAGAGAGCAGCTAAGGTGGTATAGCCCCCGACTGAGCCACCTATTATGCAAAGGCGATTCCCATCAACTAGGCCACTGTCCACCTATAGAAAAATGTACATAATTGGATGAGAAACGCAGAACTTGATACATTTCTCTCAAGCTGCAATAGAAAAGATAGAGTATATAGATTACCAAAAAATTTGCACAATTGCAACAGTCATTGACATCAACAGTCCCCCGATTTCCGCAGCAAGCGTTCGCTGTACTATCTGCCATAACTTACAAATTTGTGGACACGTAAACTTTATCTAGTGTTGTGAAAAAAGAAATTTAGAACTGTTGCAGGAAAAGTAAATGAAGTTGCCAAAGAATTGTCATTGAACTGTCTAGATACAAAAGCTGGCAGAGCTATGAACGCAATACAAAGCAAACATTTTCTGTGGAGAAAAAAAACATGATTTCAAGGGAAACACACGGCCTAAAGGTGGCATACAGATTCTAGCACACCAGTGAAGGACAGACACCAACTGGTGGTTCCACCGTAATTTACATCTACAAAAGCCCAGCCCCTGCTACTGCTAGTCCAATACTGCACGCTCAGGTTCAGTAGTGTTTCACCTGTAGTAACAGCCTTTCTTCAATTTCCATTAGAACAACATCATTTATCACACAATTCGCACACTTCAATTTATGTTGGACGAAGCAATTTATCAAACCGGTTATGTACACAAGCCGCAATTACTCACCCTCGTACATTTGGATGTGATTCGAGCAGGATCAGGCGTCCTTGGCCGTCGACAGCAGTTCCGCCGAGGCGATTAGAAGAACCGGCGACAATATCCGCCGTGATTGGCGACTTCCAGGAGCCGTAAAGAGCAGTTGCTCTCTCTTGTGCTGGCACCGAAGAAGCCATTGTTGCAAAGTAATGGTGATAATGACGCTTTGGCGGGATGGTGCAGACTGCGGAGAGGAGAATCTTGAGAAAAGGAATGACTGAAACTAGGCTTCTTGCAACATTGGGCCGACCCGCGATCTTTAATATTGGATCTGTCATAGTCGGGATTCCGGTGTAAACAAGGCCCAACAAAGATATTTCATGGGCTCAGAGCGGAAACCATAACAGAGTTCAGAAGCCGGTGGCTCTGTTTACTAGGGGTGTTCAAACGGTTTGGTTACCATGGTAACCGTTTTAACCAGTACTATTTGGATAATTTGGTTTGGTTAATTTGGATAATTGGTTTGGTTTGGTTAAAGTTTTTAGCTTGTTTGGTTTAGGTGGTTTGGTTTGGTTTCAGACACTCCTAACCACTCAAACCAAATTAACCAGTTAAGTAATTAGTCATATATCTAACATATATTATATGCACAAACTTAATACTTTGCATAACCACTCAAGAGTTAACGTTCATCCCTTTTAGACTCATAAAATATAAAGCTCAATATTGCTCATATAGTGTATATTTGTATATGTAAAATGTAGACCACAACATATGGACGCCTAATTTATAGATAAACTTCATACATTATGATGGATGAAAACTTGAACGGAAGGTCATTTCCAGCCTATGATAATTGCTAAGAGACTAAGTCAATTTATACAAACACAACAATTCATTAACTCATACCATTGTCATAAATTTTTGTTAGGTGAATACTTCTATACTAATTGTAAGATAATTGTCTTAGTTGCATGTATTTTTGTTAAGGGTCAACTATAACTACGTGTTGATTGTTATGTTTTATTCATTATATAAATTGCGGATTGTTGCATTCAGCGGAAAATTTTCATCGTCAATGATAATGTGATTTTATATTGGTTAATCTAGTTAACCAATTAACCAAACCGATTAAATTTTAATTTGGTTAATTCGGTTGTTGTATTAGTTTGGACGGTTTGGTTATGATATTGTATTCCATGGTTAATGGAATTTAGCCTTATATGGTTTGGTTATAACCATGGTAACCATTTGAACACCCCTACTGTTTACTCAACCAGCGTTGGCCCCGGCTAGTTGGTCGGAGGAAGGTGAGGTATGAAATTTGATAATGTAATGGGGTGTATAGCTTATTGTTGTATAGTTTTTTTTGGAAACACGTGATAAAAATAATGAATTTTAGCATGAAAGAGACATGAATGATGCAACGAATCAAAAATCGGCCTTATGAACCAAAATCAAGTACTTGTTACCTTGTGAAACAATATTGCTTATGGTAATATGATGAGGTGGAGTAAGTTATATAGAAACCGAATTCCAGAAAATCGAATAAAAATCGCCTATCTTGTCGGTTTTCGGGAAATGAGCATCTCACAATTGTTGCTAGCTTTTACTCGGCCCGTTGGCCGATTAGTTTGCTTTATAAAACTTTCATCTTGTAGTCATTGTGCTTTCTGGGTTTTTGTCAGACCATGATAAAATCTAAGAAAATCAAGAACGAATAACACGATTTGGGATAGGAACCGCCATTGTCGTATCCCTAGAAAATGGTGGTAAACACGGACTCATCTGCCAAACTGGTTTGGATTGAGATTTTTATCGAGTATCAGGGAACCATGTGATTATAAATTAGACTTGATTAAAATGGGCCAAAACTTGAAATTCAGCCTGTTTGACCGACACATGCCAAATTCTAATTATTCTTTACTTTGAAACTTTTTATTTGAAAATAAAAAATAGTGAAAGAAAAGAGATGACTGCAATTCGCCATTTTCACATCACTTATTCGGGAATAAAACCATAGAAATTCAAAAGGAACTGAAAATGTTTAGGATCGTTTTAATGTTTAAAATAACCAAATAGATCTTTCTGTTTAGTTTTTTACTAACAAATACCAAACGATTCCCTGTAAAATACACTATAATTTGATCATTATGATATCGAATAATTATATAATATAAATTTGAAATGATAAAAATTGGACTAATTGAATAACTTTAAAATACATTGTATTTTAGCCACTAAGATATAAAATAATAGCATAATATATATTATGGGAAAAAATCCCAAAGTACACACGTTCTTAAAAAAAATTCTCAAAATACATAAGTTATAAAAAATTTTCCAAAACTACACATGTTTGGGCATCACCGTGTTTGACAAAGGCGGTGAAGACTATCACCGCGTTTAATAAAAACGGTGAACATTTCACCGTTTTAAAATAAAACGGTGATGCCTTCACCGTCTTAGTCTAAAACGGTGAAGGCTTCACCGTTTTAAACTGAAACGGTGAAGCTATCACCGTTTTAGTTTAAAACGGTGAAGCCTTCACCGTTTTTATTAAACGCGGTGAAGGAGCTGACGTGGACAAACGCGGGGTATTCACCGCGTTAGACAAACACGGTGAATACCCCGTGTTTGTTTACGTCAGCGATCCGGGCCATTGTGCTTTCACCGTGGCCGTTGGATGCGGTGAGGCGCGGATCGTGGTTTTCTTCCCACGATCCGACGCCTCACAACACGCCACGTCCCCTCGAAATTGACCGCGTTTGTTTACAGCGATGAGTTCACCGCGTTTGACTAACGCGGTGAAGGCGCTCCAATTGAATGCTGCGCAGGCGCCTCCCCCCTTCCCCCAACTATAAATACCCCCTTCCCCTTTCACTTTCAACTCACCCCACAAACATTTCACTTCTTTCTCCCTCAATTTATCCGCTCTAGTCTCGTTCTAAGTATGCTCTGTGGTTGCGGCTAAGTCCGATCTTCCACATCAGAAAGAATTACTAGAGTTTGACCCTAAAGCCCCCGTCCCGCTAAGTTCCCGTCCCTTACACCTAAACTCGTCGAACCTCTGTCCGGCCTACGCCAAAAAATGGACGAAGAGGCTCTTCGTGTAGGTTTTTTGTTTATGAATTTTTTTTAATCAAAACAATCTGATTTTTTGTTTTTTTTATCAAAACAATCTCTGATTTCATTACTTTTTTATAGATGGGTGCCGAGATATACGATCCTCGATTGTATATCCATTATGGCCCAAGGGATGCGAGTCTCTTAACCGATCAAGAAGCTCATCGCTCCCGTGCTATTTGGGATAACAATCCGGTAATTTTTTGAGTATTCTTGCTTTATTTTATTATTTTCTAAGGTTTTATTTTGCTATATTTAATCTAATAAATTGTTGTTTTCCCTATTTTTTTTAGGAATCGCTTGTTCCCGTGGTTCATAAAGGGACCAATAACTTGCCCGCTTGGCATCCAAGGTTGGAGCCCTATATAGCGAGGACAGGTTTGGGAATGTTGCGCCATTTCTTGCGGATCGAAATCGACAACGATCTGCTTACGGCAATGGCGGAACGATGGCGTCCCGAAACCCATACGTTCCACCTTCCGGAGGGGGAAATGACGATCACCCTCAAAGACGTGGCGATCCTCACAGGGATGCCTATTTCTGGGGATGCCGTCATTGGTCCCCAGACCAAACCCGACGTAGGTTGGGGGCCGCTCATACGTGATCGTTTGGGCTTTGACATGCCGACCACCACTCCAATCCAAGGGCGGGGGCATCCACCGTTGAATGCGGGCCAAGTGTCGGTCCCGTGGCTGGTGTCTCACATCCAGCAAGAGGTTGTAATCAATGACGAGACACCGGAAGAACAAGTCGAGCGCTACGCCCGCATCTACCTCATCGGTTTGGTGGGTGGATTTTTGTTCCCCGACAAGTCCAACCGGTGGATTCAAGGCATATGGTTGGAGTTGCTCACGGGTGATTGGGATGCAATCGGGCAAAAGAGTTGGGGATCGGCCGTGCTAGCGGGCGTATACCGGGAGCTGTGTACTTGCTCGAAGGTTGGGGCAAAGCAAGCTGGTGCTGCGATGTTCATCCTACAACTGTGGGTATGAGAGCATCTTCCAATGTTCGCACCTCTCGACCCACGTCCATACCGGAGAAACGATGATGAGCTCACCTTTCTGCAAATCTCCCATACGGTGTCAAGTAAGTTTATTTCGTACTTAGCTCAATTTAAATTTTATTACATGCTTGAGCTACAAATAAATTGAATTTATCCCGTACTTAGCCCAATTTAAATTTTATTACATTAGCTAGATTTAATTTGAATTTATTCCGTACTTAGCCCAATTTAATTTTGATTACATGCTTAGCTAGATTTAAATTGAATTTATTCCGTACTTAGACCAATTTAATTTATTATATGCTTAGCTATATTTCAATTAAATTGATTCCGTACTTTTACTTACAAGGTGGATAGGAGCAAATACGAATGACCATCAACCTGAGCATTCGTTACTGTTTTATCGTTCTGAGTTAGATAAACCATGGTGGAATCAGGTAATCATGTTTTGTCCATATTTGAACAAGTTAAATTTTTTCAAAGTAAATGGTCGTTAATTCCAATTTTTTGAATGGATATAGGTTATATGGGATCCATATCCACGTGAAGTGGTTGAGCTGCACCATCTTAGGCACCCTCTGGATCAAGACACATGGTTGTGCAAGGTGTCATTAATCTGCTGGCACATGGTGGAATGGCACCTACCCGATCGATCCCTGAGGCAATATCGAATGGAGCAGCCAATTCCACAAGACCCGCCAGCAGGTTTCAGGGAGCTACATGCTATCGACCTCCGACATTCGTCAAAGAACTGGCAGCGAAAGCATGGATTCTATATCAACATCTGGGAGAATCGACACCAATGGGTGGTGCAAGGGATGCCGGAGACGAGACCGATGGGCTACCACGATGGGTACATGCAGTGGTATCGGAAGTTCACCATGAGATGGGTGTCAAAGCAAGGTGCTGTGATGGGTTCGTTGGTAAGTCATCCTAATCTCCCTCATTCTAAAATATATTTATTTTAAGGTAGTTAATTTTATACATTTTGTGCTTTCCTTAGGTTGATGGTTTGGAACACGCCAAGTACACTCTCGAAAGTGCTCCAACCATGGATGAGCGGAAGACTACTTGGTTGAGCCGACTTATGAACAACCTCCTGAGTTGCACCAGAGAGCAAAGGAGGGATGTCGTGGCATATCCTCCCGGTCCTGCCCCGGCACGACCCTCATTCCGTGATGATGCACCCATTGTGCCCCCGATTGAGCCCCCACGAAGGAGCAAACGCAGGCCTCTGCCTACGTTCGAAGAGGTGCGTACAACTCAAGCAACCGAGATCCCCGAACCGTTCGAGTACCAGTGGGCACCTGCAGCGGATGCCGGTGGAGGGTCATCGAGTCGTGGAGCATCTCAGGAATGGGACACTTTCTCTCATGGGTTCTCTCAATTCCAACATCAGCAACAGAGTTCGATGTATCAGACTCCGCAACAACAAACTCCGCAACCTCCGATCATTCGCCAAGCTACCGCTCCATCTCAACCACCACCACCACCATATGTAACCCCAGTTGGGGCTCGGGTCAAGAGAAATCCGCGACCAGCCGTTGAGCGAGCCCGCCAAGACATTTCCACGATGACAGAAATAGGCATCGCTCGAAGACCCTTGTACACATTATTTATACTTTCTCCATGGTTGGTAGTTGCAATGCCCCATCTGGCCCCGTTGTCCATATGGAACGTCCACATGGGCAACTCTTGACCTTCAGCCCATACTGCTCCAGCTCGGTGGGTCTGACGGATCGTTTTCATCTTCTCCTCGTACTTTTTTGGTTGATGTGCAACCGCTAAAAGGTGAACAAAAGACTAACTGGTCAATACATGATGAATAACATCAGCTTATCAGCTTAATAAACACAAACTTAAATCGCATAAGAAAAACATTAGTACCTGCATTCCAAAGTAGATTTTTGATGTCTTTCTTCTTCCCAAATTTGTGTTGGAAATTGGCGAGCCAGTGTCGAATACACCATCTCCATCTCCACCCCCACTCGTCGGGAAAACCACCAACAACATTCCTTATCCCCGCATGTCGATCGGATATAATCGTAATATCTTCCCACTGTGTCACATGCTCGTGCAGTTGGTCAAAGAACCAAGCCCAACTTAAGCTGTTCTCCCCTTCCACTAATGCAAATGCAAGCGGGAAAATCCGCCTATTTCCATCAACGCCAGTGGCAATTAGAAGACATCCTTTGTACTTCCTAGTAAGGAAAGTTCCGTCAACCTGAATAAAAATTTAGGATATAATTAGTATGATATATACTAAACAACAAATAATACAACATTTAAAACCGGGACTAGTTGGTAAAATACCTGAATAACCGGTATGCAGAACCCAAAACCGTCAATGCATGGTTTAAAAGCCCAAAAAAGACGATGGAACATCAGCTTATCCTGTACTCGAACTTGATCCTCAGTGTATACATTGTTGTATACTGGGACGAAAAACAGTCCCAGGATTGGACTCCTCCATTGCTCCCATAAGTCTAGGGAGTAAAGCATACGAATCCTCCCAATCACCATACACCTCAGCCATGGCTTTCTGCTTACCATGCCATGCTTTTTTATACCTTATCGTGTAAGAATGTCGATCCTTCACCTCTGCCATGATAGCTTTCACCTTGATATCTGGTTGTGCTTCTATAAGGTGCTTAATAGTTCTCCCAACCTTCTTTGCTTTTAGTTGCCTGTGATCTTGGGAAAGTATAGAAGAGGAGCATGTGTGGATCGTCTCAGCTTTGCGAATCACCCAAGCACTCCTTCTCTTCATATTTGCAGCCCGCAGTTGCCACGTACAACCCTCTGCATCATGCTTGCATATGACATGTAGTTGTTTACTGTCAGAATATTTTACCTTCCACTCGAAATTGCGCCTCAACGCCTCTTCTGTAAACGCATCCTGCACAGCGTCTTTCGATGGGAACGCCATACCCACCTCCAAATTGGCCGTCGGATTGTACACTGGCATAGGGACAAATTCGGGGGGATCATTCTGACTATGTAAAAATTGAGTTGGAACCTGTGTGTAATATGGCGTGGGTGCCTCACGAAATGCCGCCTCATCCTCGTTATCATCAGTATCTTCCTCCTCCTCGCTCACTGATCTCAAATCTTCCTCAGTATCCTCGTCGCTCGACTCGAATGGATAGCTCGGGCTAGAAGGATCAACATGACCACGATCACCAACATCGTCCTCTCGCTCATGTGAAGTACGCCCTGATCGAATGGTATTCTCGATTCCATACCACTCTGGCCCCCAAGCAAGCCATTGAACACCATCGGCCTCAACAAATGGGGTTGGTTTAGGAGGTTGCGAGTATTTGTCCCATCCTGCACTACTCGATCCACCATAGTTGATTGAACCACCACCCTCCCCATAACCTCCTGTATAACCACCGCCTTGGTAGTTGCTCGAACTACCACCCCATTCGTACCCTCCTGCAAAACCATCATCATAAGAATACTGGTGAGAATGAGATTCACCGACCGCCTCGGTCTCAACATACACCTCTGCAAGCCGGACTTGGTTATCGCTTAGGAACTGTAACATCATCGTAACCGCGTCATCATCGTTTATGACAACTTCTTGGAACACGACCCCGCCAGCACTCATGTCTGGATACCGGTAAGTAATTTTGCCAAGTCTCGTCTGTCCGCTCGTACAAACCCTTTCTGCACAAAGATCACAGAGTTCTTGAAAATTGAATCGGGAATCAATTTTCAGCATAATGGATTCGCCGTCCTCATAATCAATGCCTATGTCAGAGTTTGTCACCCTTCCATTCCACCGAATAGTAAGATGAAACTTCTTGAATTTACCCATATCTACAAATCGAGGATAAGTATCTATTAGCTTAAAGACAGTAAAATTAACCAAAATCATATTGTACAACTAATATTATCCATCTCATAACTAACGAACATAAATTCAACTAACTAACAACAACATAATACGAATTTTTTTTTTTTTTGGTAGAAAATAGGACGCTAAAGGGCGCCCTTGCCTTAAACTTAAATTAACCGGGTTTGGGAGATACCCAAAACGTCATACAAAATCCAGAAGGTCAGACCAGAGTCCGAACTCTCAAAAACATGGAAACCTATACTAACATAGTGGCCTTTATTAGCAAGGAAATCCGCCACTTTGTTTCCTTCTCTATAGATATGGGAAATTCTGACTTCCCAGTTCTGCTGGAGCAGTCTCTGAAACTGCAGAATCAGATTATGATACCTGTGCTCCGTCTGATCCTGTGATGTAAGGATGTTGATGGCTGTCGTGGAGTCCAACTAAAGTAAGACTTTCCTGTATCCGTACTCCCACGCCATCTGCAAGCCACGAATGGCCGCCATGATCTCTGCTCGGGTTATCGTGCACACTCCCAAGTTCTCCACAAAGGCTCCCATGCACTTCCCCGTCCAGTCCCGGATGATGCCCCCTCCAGCTGCTTCTGATCCTGGTTGCTTCACTGAGCCGTCGGTGTTAACGCACATCCAGTCTTGTGGTGGTGGTATCCAAACTAGCTGCTGTTCAGACCTCAAGGGCTTCTCTAACTGAAAAGCTGCGTCATTCTCCTGAGCTTGCCTGATAGTAGACGTCCAACAACCAATACGTTGCGCCAAAACGTGATCCTCTTGCATCAGGTTGTGGAAGACCTTCTCATTTCTTCTTTTCCACAGATACCAAGCCGCCACACCGAACAGGAGCCCTTCCTTATCCTTTTTGAGGTGTTCATCAAGCCAGGCTGCAAAACCAAGACCATAAGTTAGAGAGGTCTCTTGTATACCCAGCTTGTTCCATACCTGTAAAGAACTCGGGCACTGGCGCAGAATGTGTTCAGCCGTTTCCGGTCCCGCATTGCACATCGGGCAAGTATCGTCCGTTGTCAGTTTCCGCTTCTTTCGCTGCGCATTCGTCATCAGCCTGTCATGAAAAGTCAACCACAGAAAATGCTTAATGCGGTTCGGGCCCGCCCACTTCCAGAGACGCTTCCAGTGCTGGTGGTTGTTCGCCTGTTCCTCCACCCCCACCTCGTCGCTCAGCCACTCCACAGCCGCCGCATAAGCTGATTGAAGCTTAAACTTTCCATCTGGCTCCATTCCCCAAGCGGTGATGTCTTCACCCGCTCCCGGCACGGGAGGGTCTGTATCTGCAATCAAAGCCAACATATTCTCAAACATATGTGGTTCAATATCATGCCACTTCCACTCACCTGAACTCGTGGCCATCTCCGCAACGGTCGCATGCCAGTTAATTCCTTCACCAGCGTTAGTGATATGTTCACTCAAGACAGTACCCTCAGCAAGCCAAGGATCCGTCCAAAACTGAACATTATGGCCTTCACGGATGTCCCACACCACTCGCTGCTTAAGGATAGGCCAAGTATCCATAATTCCTTTCCATAGCCGAGAGTAGTTGCTCTTTTTCATCACCAAAGTCCCTGCCTCATTGCCTTTGAAATACTTGCTCTGCAGGACCCGGATCCAAAGCTCCTCCGACTTGTTCAGGAAGGCCCACCCAAGCTTCATAATGTAAGCCAGGTTCAAAGCTCTAGCAGAGCGCATGCCCAGACCACCAAACTCCTTTGGTTTACAAATGGTTTCCCATTTGACCAAGTGAGTTTTGGATACGCCGTCTTCTGCTCCCCAGATAAAGGCTCTGATTTTCCTGTCAATGGTGTCGCAAACAGAGACCGGGAGAACTGCCGTTTGCATGGCATAATTCGGAAGGGAGTTGAGCACCGAGGTAGCCAAGGTAACTCTCCCTGCCAGGGAAAGACTCCTCGCCTTCCAACCTGAGAGCCGGTGGTCGATCTTCTCCAAGATGAATTTATAGGTATCCTTGGTGACTCTGCCGTGGATGACCGGAACACCCAGATAGCGCCCCAGGTTACTGGTATGCTTGATCCCCAACATGTCGCTAATCCTTTTCTTCGGGTTCTCCCTGGTGTTTTTCGAGAAGAAGACACAAGACTTGTCCTTGCTGACTTGCTCCCCCGAGGCCTCACAGAACCGGTTAAGACAGCTCAAGACCTCTTCTCCTTGCTTCGGGTCAGCCTCCGCAAATAAGACCAAATCATCTGCAAAAAATAAATGAGTAAGTGCAGGGCCGTCCTTAGACAAAGTAATCGGTCTCCAAGCTTTCCTCTCAACAGAGTCCTTAATGCAGTGATTCAATCTTTCAATGCATAAGGTAAATAAATAAGGAGAGAGAGGACATCCCTGCCGAAGGCCCCTCGTCGGTTGGAAAGGTTCGGTGCAGCCACCATTCCAGAGCACCTGGAAACGGACAGTCGTCACACACGCCATGACCAGTCTAACAAAATCATCAGGTAGACCAGTCGCCTTCAGGGTGGATTCCAAGAACTTCCAATTTATCCTGTCATAGGCTTTGGCCAAGTCGATTTTCAAGATCATTTGCCCCCTGGTTCCCGTCTTGAGCGACATGGTGTGAACCACTTCCTGAAGAATGATAATGTTGTCTGTGATATGTCTCTTGGGGACGAAACTTGACTGGCTCGGGTCGATCAGCTGAGGCATGAAATTTTTGAGCCTGTTCGCCAAGCATTTGGCCACGACCTTGTAGCTCACATTGCAGAGTCCGATGGGCCTGAACTGTGCTACTTGCTTCGGAGAATCCACTTTGGGCATCAGTACCAGGAGGGTTTCATTGCATCTCTCGATCCGCTCCGGATTCCTGAAACAAGCAACAATGTGGTCATGGAAATCGACACCCACCCTGTCCCAACATTTCTGGTAGAAGGTAGCATGGAAGCCATCCTTCCCTGGTGCCTTTAGCCCTCCCGTCTCCTTGATAATATGGTACGTCTCCTCGGGAAGTGGGCTGACTGCAAGATGCGACGTCGTGGTCCCGGTCAAGATATTGAACAAGGCTGGGATATCTTGCTGCCCCGTTCTGTCATCCGAGTACAGCTGGACATAGAACTCCCTAGCCATATCCTTCAGCAACTCCGGGTCCACGATCCAAGTCCCATCCTCCCGCTGGAGCTTGGTTATTCTATTCTTCCGCCTTCTCGTGAGAGCCACAGTATGGAAATACCGAGTGTTCCTGTCCCCGTTCACAATCTGGTTTGCCCTGGCCTTCTGTAGCCACAAGAGCTCTTCCTGCCATAAAGTCTGCTCAAGCTCCTCCCGAACCTTCATTTCTCGTCTGAGGGATGCTTCACTCGATGCCGCCTCATTCTGAACCTCCAGACGGGCTAGCTGCTTAGATAGCTTAGCCTTCTTCCAAAATATGTTTCCAAACACCTCTTTGTTCCAACGACTGAGATGTACTTGAAGGTCCTGCAAAGACAACAAACAGTCCCTTCCTCGGTTCCACGAGGCCTCAAGCGTAGCATGGAAATCCTTATGCGCTAACCACGACACTAGAAACCGGAAGGGTCTTACCTGCCTCGGGGGAATATGGTCATTATTACTGCAGATAAGGATTGGCCTGTGATCTGAACGGAGTTTAGGCAGGTTCGTTGAAACAGTATCTGGGAAGAGCCTGATCCACTCCTGATTACATAGAGCTCTGTCAAGACGTTGGGATAACCTTCCATTACTCCAGGTAAATTTAGGTCCAGTGAAGCCGACATCTATAAGCCCACAATCACGAATGCACGCATTGAAACTGGCCGTTTTGCTTGGGTTGTAAGCCGCACCACCTTTGCGCTCCGAGGGACACGTAATGGAGTTGAAATCCCCCGCTAAAAGCCACGGCCTCTCACTGTGCTGCTCCAGTCTACGGATAGCCGCCCAAAGGGGTTGCCTGTCGTGGTCATTAGGCTTGGCATAGATCGCAGTCAAGAGAACTGAATCATTGTTCTGAACTGTACACAAAAGGTGAAGGAATTGTGAGTCTCGATCCAATTCAGTCATCGTCAGGTGAGTATCTTTCCAAAGCACCCAAATACCACCAGAAAAGCCAATAGCATCTACTACAATATGTTTATCAAACCCCATATTCTTAATAACATCTTCAGCATCCTTACCACTGATCCGTGGTTCGACAATAAAGACAATGTTAGGCCTATGGGTGAACACATACTCTTTAAAAGTTGCAAGAAACTTGGGGTGTTTTGCCCCCCGGCAATTCCAACTAAAAATATTAATCATAAGGAAAACTAAAAGAAAGGTTTGGTGACTTCCCTGACTAGCAGACACGGGGGAAAACCGCTCAAATTGCCGGCTTCGCCAGCGGGGGTTCATCTCCCATCGGGGCAGTCGTAATGGGAATTTGGTTTCCTTCAGTTCTCGTGGGCTGCTCGGCGATTTCTTCCATAGCGTCATTCTCCGCTTTGGGTCCCGAACAAGAGCTTCCAACAGGTGGCATGGATTGGATTTGGGCGAGGAGCTCCTCGACAGCTTTGCGATGGTTTGGATTATCTTGCTTTTTTGGTGCGCGCTTGCTGCTTCCCGTTCCACTCCACATTTCATGACTCTTCTTTGCTACCCGCAGGTTGGGATCTTTCTTCTTCTTCGGGGTGGACACAGCTTTCCCTCTGATATGTTCTCGAATGGATTCCAATTTTTGTGGACCAGCTTCTTTTCCCGGGGACAAAAATTTAGGGCCATTATCATTTCCCGGGGACACAAATTTTGGGCCATTATCATTTCCCAGGGACACCAATTCTGGCCCATTAACTTTTCCCAGAGACGCCACTTCATTGTCAAAGGGGAGGCCCGATTCCGCTGAGGATGCCTTGCGGATTGAGTTCATGTTGTTGTTGGGCTCATTTTCACTAGGATCCAGCATCTTCAAGTCAGCTTCTGATTCTTCAATGGGCTTCAGACTAGAGAAAGTGGAGACCTCCTTGGACTTCGGGCCCACCAAACGCCACACTTGAGACGGGCCTGGGGCCTGATACACCTTGCCTAGGTTATCTTCATCAACGATGGCCTTCCCATTTTGCATCGCCGCCTTACCCTTTCTCAAATCCCCTCTCGGATCCTCCTTCCCTTTCTTATCTTTCGAGATTTTAGGGATCCCTTGCTCTTGTCTTTGGTTCTTTCCCGATTTGCTAGCTGCTTTCCCGGTATCAACTTTTCTCTCCGTTGGAATACCTTGGGCGGATCCCTGGCTGACTTCCCCTTTCCTATTCTGGCTGCGTGATTTCCGAATCACCTGCATCCATGGTCCGTAGCCCGCCGGCGGTTCCGGCGGTTGTTCTTCCGGTGACCGGAGCTGATCTGCCGCGCCCGCCTGAGAGATAATCGCCTGGGAATTGTGAAGCTTGGGGCAGGCAACATCAGAGTGCCCGATTCGGCCACATTCAAAGCAGATTTCCGGTAAGTTTTCGTAAACCACCTGTTGCCAAAACCCTTCAAGTCTGATCCGCGTCTTCAGAGGCTTGGCCATATCGAGCTCCACGGCGATCCGAGCGAACTTCCCTCTTTCCATATGTTCCGTATGATAATCGAGTTTTACAGTTCTTCCCAGTAGGTTTCCCAACGCGAATAGCACTTCCCGATGGTAAAAATGAATCGGTAGCTCCGGCAGCTGAACCCAGGCTACCACAGATCGGTGAGGTTTGTCGGATGTTCGGAATGTGTGGGACCATTGGTGGACGATCAGATAATGATCAAGGATCACCCATGGGCCGCCGGTGAGGGCATTCAGATAGTCCTTTTCATTGCTAAAATTGATCAAGAATGTTGAGTTATTCAAGTCGAGGATTTCCATGTTCCCAGCAGGTTTCCATTTCCAACGGAGCTGTGAGCAGATGTACTGGTAAGAGACCGATTTTCCTAGGAGCCGCGCAACCAAAGTGCGCTTCCACGGTAAACAGAGGCGTTCCTTGAGTTGGGGCGATATCTTCAACTCGGGTTCGCCGTTGTAGAGCCCGACCTCCAAGTCATGCTCGCCAATGAAAGTCCATTGTTGGCCCTTAGCCGGAGTTGGAACCGGGGCTCCTGCCAGTGCCAATTTGTAGTTCAGCGGAGACGAGCTTGGCGAGCCTTGAGTCGTTGATGAGATGCGCGACAGAGTCGTAGAGGTGTGGTCCGGCGGCCTGCCCGAAAGAGCCATGTCGGCGTCCGTCGTGTTATCGGCAGTCGGAAAAACAGAGTACATTTTCAGAGCGTTTTTTTCAGAGCGTTTTTTTCAGAGCGTTGTTGTCACGACTATAATACGAAAATTAAATCATACTATAACTAACGAAAATAAATTCAACTAACTAACAACAACATAATACGAAAATTAAATCATACTATAACTAACTAACAACAACATAATACGAAAATTTAATCATACTATAACTACTAAAAACATAATTAGACTATAATACGAAAAGTCTCAACATACCGAAAAATGTATGTTCTGTGTATTATGCTCGATTTTTGTTGCTGAAATTTGAAGAAGGGGGGAGTGGTTATGTTTTTGCTTCTGCTGGTGGGTTGGTATTTATAGGAAAATCTGCCTATTATTCACCGTTTTTGTCAAAAACGGTGAACACCATCACCGCGTTTGTCTCAAACGGTGAATAATAGGTAGGTGTGACCTAATTTTGACCTACCAGGGGTGGGAAACGTGGGAATATATCACCGCTTTACCCAAAAACGGTGAATGTATTCACCGTTGTCGACCAAAACGGTGATGTATTCACCGTCTTTACCAAACGCGGTGAATACATCACCGTTTTAGATAAAGGCGGTGAATACGTCACCGTTTTGGTTTTAAACGGTAAAATATTCACCGTCTTTGACAAACGCGGTGATTACCTTCACTGCGTTTGTCAAACACGGTGAATGCCAAACATGTGTACTTTGGGAAATTTTTTTATAACTTATGTATTTTGGGAATTTTTTTTAAGAACGTGTGTACAGTGGGATTTTTTCCATATATTATGCCAGAGAAAATAGCTTGTTTTAGAATGGCAAACCAATGATGTTCATTTGTTTTACTTGATGGCCAAATTCCGTGTAGGTCAGGCTCATTCAACTCTTTTATTTTATGGTTAGCGGTTAGCCCATTAGATACCATGCATTAGTTTATTGTTAAATTTTTTATTTTTAGCAATAAAAAGGAGTATTGTTTTTGCCTTTTCATATATATTTTATCACCACGGAAAAATAAAAGAGCTTAAAGATAAAAATTGACACTCCTGGACCCGTTTAAATCTTCATGTGTACGGTAAGTTGGCTCGTTCCACAGAGGAAAGAGAAAAAATTGAAACTACCTATTCTACCCTTCCTATAAACGCTTTTAGAATGACAAACCAATGATGTTGATTTGTTTTACTTGATAGCCAAATCCTGTGTAGGTCAGACCTATTCAACTCTTTTATTTTATAGTTAGCCGTTAGCCCATTAGATACCATGCATTAGTTTATTGTTAAATTTTTTATTTTTATAAATAAAAAGGAGTATTGTTTTTGCCTTTTCATATATATTTTATCACCATGGAGAAATAAAAGAGCGTAAAGAAAATATTGGCACTCCATGACCCGTTTAAATCCGCATGTATAAGGTATAGTTGGCCCGTTCCACAGAGGAAAGAGAAAAAGATTGACACTCCATATTCTACCCTTCCTACAAACGCTCTTGGAGCAGGGAATTTGAAATGGGGGAAGAGCTTTTTCCTCCATGCTATTATATGTTTTTAATTTAAAAAGATACAACAAATCTACTTAGTGTGATTGGTTATGATCCTTGTTTTTCTTTAAAATGGTCATGGTTCAAACCCCAGTACGTGTTTTTTTAATGAATAAAAAAAAGTAATTGTGAAGACCAAAATGTCCTTCCTACTTTCACTGTCGTTGCAGGAAATTTGAAATGGGGCTCCCGTTTTTCCCTTCGGTGTATTATAATATGTGTAGAGATGTAGATTCCCCATTTTAATCGGAAAAATGTAAAAAGAGAACAGAGTAAGGAAGGAAATTGATGCTTTCAAGAACAAAAAAAGGAAAAGATTTGATCGTCTTCAGGAGGAAGATGGGGAAGATGGTGGCTCTCAGGTCTCTATATCGTGCAGCTTCTCGTAGATCTTCGATAAGCTTTGCAGCTATTGCCGGCAACCACCATCAATCAGCTCCTCGATCCTTATTCACTCTCACTCCCGCCACCGCTTCTGCGGATCGCATCCCTTCCGGTATGGCACTTTTCGACCCCATACTTCCGGTTGTGGTTTTGGGCGCTCTGCGTACTTATTTGGTTCTCAATTTGATCATCATCCTTGGGGATAATTACCTAAAACTTTGTTGAGGCCTTTTCAATTTTTGGGTGGATTTGGGAGCGAAGTTGGTGAACTAGGTTGAATGAATCTGCGCTAATAGGAAAAAGAAGCAGTAGCCTTTATCTGAAATTTTCTGTTCCCAATTATGTCATTCTGCTCATCTAATACACCATGACTTAAAACTTAGATGAAGTTCTTTCTCGGTCATTTGTTTCTCATCTCTAGTTGTTTGGCTTCTTTCCCATGTTTTATATTCAGAATTGTAGCCTTTGGAAATTGTGAGCACATACTATCAATAATTTAACATTACCGGATATGTGTGACATGAATTTTCATTGGTATATGTGCCTAGGTGTTAGAAGTGAACCAGCAATTGTCATCAATGTGAAACTCATTAAGGCTTATGTCAATTAGGTAGATATAATGATTGATTTTATCTGCCAACTCCTGTTTGTTTGAAGTTGATGCTACCTCGGAAATGATAGTTCATGCCTCTTTTAACTCGGTAGTTTCTTGGTCATTCTTGTTTTTAGGTTCCCAGACTCCTTTAGAGATCAGCATTGGTAGTAAAAGGTCTTATAGTGAGGATGTAGCACACTTGCCCGAGATTAAGGACCATGATGTCTTATGTGCTTTCAAGGACTTGATGGCTGCAAGCTGGGATGAAATTGATGCGACAGTTGTCCATGATGTAAAGAATGCTCTGTCTAAAAACTCTGATGACAAATCCGGTCAAGAGATCTTGAAGAATGTTTTCCGGTCATGTGAAGCTGTTGAGGAATTTGGTGGGATGATCATGACTCTGAAGATGGAGCTAGATGACAGCATTGGGATGAGTGGCGAGGTATGTTCATGGCTTTTTTATTTAAAAATTTCAGTTTTATATTTGTACTCTCAAATGGCTGTTGAAGATTAATACTATCTTGTAAAATATGTGACACAGGATGTAAAACCGCTAACAGATGATTATGCAAAGGCAATCCGCATGTTTTTTGAACGGTACTCTTCGTATTTGGAGTCATTTGGACCTGATGAGGCCTACCTGAGAAAGAAAGTAGAGATGGAATTGGGTTCAAAGATGATATTTTTGAAGATGAGATGCGCTGGACTTGGATCGGAGTGGGGCAAGGTATTAAGACTTGCTCAATTTTACAGAATGCTAATTAACTGAAATTCTCGATTTAAATTATTGTTTCTCCAAGCTGTCAACCTTCTGCATCTGGAGCTGTACTTGGCTGTTCTTTAATGCATATTTGGAAAGCAAGGTAGTTGATGTTGTGTGCCTAAATCACTTGGTCCTGTGTTTGCAGGTGACCTTGATTGGTACTTCTGGACTTGCTGGATCTTATGTTGAACAAAGAGCTTAAAGTCCTGGAACCTGGGATCTGATTTAGCTTAGTTGCTAGAGTTTTTCTAGCTTGGAATCTGTGTTTATTAATGGTTTTGATCAAGTTGCTCCTCTTAGAAACCTTTTAATTGGAGTGGCATTGCAGTTCAATAAAAGCTTAGCTATATCAAGATTTGCATTGATGATCCCATGATTTCAGTTCCATTTAGCTGTATTTCACTGGAAGCAATGATTTCTTCAAGCAAATAAGGCCCGCAACTTTCTTTCCTTGTGTTTGTGCAAAACCTAATATCATCTAAGTTGAAAAAGGATCGATGTTAAAAATAATGGGGGGAAAACGATCAGTAGTCCAATGGAGAGTCCATAAGTTTCCCCCTTCCTTGGCAGATCATAGAAAACTATTTTAATGAAGTAGAAAATTGATGTTCTTACAGAACCAGTGTTCAGAAGGATGCTTCTATATGAACTCAGGCTTACTGTGAATTTCTTAATTGATTGGGGACTGAACTTTTGATTTCCAATCTAGAATCTGATACATAGGAATAGACATGACAACATGACAAAACAATAAACTTCGCATCCTTCTGCAGCAGTCTATCTTATTCTAAAGCTGTTTCTTAGTTTTTCGTCTTTGTTGCAAGCTGCAAGAATTCAAGGCCGCCTGGCTGATCTACTACCTTTGTGCCATAGCCAGGACTCAGAGGGAGACTTAGGCAAAGGTGGTAGCAAAACAGCCTTCCTGCAGAGACCAAATGGCCACCCTTCATAGTGGCAGAGCTCCTGCAATATCGAACCCCGCCTGTGAAAACTTGGGAAGTCCATCTGACTCAAGCTCGAACACCTGGACAAGTTTGTCTTCACTGAGAAGAACTCTTCACCCCCCCCTTGCTCAAACTGCTCGAACAACGTGAAAGACAGCTCCCAGCTGAGTAGAAATCTTCCTCCTTTTCAACTTCTCCATCCTCCTGCTTCTCAGCACTAAAGAACAGTTCCCCTAAAAAGCTATTTGTGATCACAAACACCTTCTGCTTCGACTTCTCCAACGCTCTGCTCCTGATTTCTGACACGACAATCTGAAGAAACGAAACAACATAGTTATTGTCATAAACAAATTCATGTGCATTGTTTTTTGTATGTCTGTACAAGAAAATCGTAGCACAGTTTGAAGAAGTGGAAAGTACTTCCTGTTCATTATCTTTCAGTCCAGTTGTTGTGTTGGGAACATATTCCTCATCCTGGTGCTGCTTGAGAGGGCTTATGTGGCCGCCGCAAGATCGACAGATGGAGAAGGCATCTTTGAGTGTTGAAACGAGGAAGAACTTGCATTTCTTTGATGGGTTTTTTGGGGGTGGCTCTTCCTGATAGAAGACACCCATTATGGATTTAGAGAGAGGAATTAGACAATACACCAAAAGCTAAAAACTTTGGTGGGGAAATTGATGCTTAACTTGGCTATAAAGAAGAAAGGAAGAAAAGGGAGGAAGAGCAAGCACCATGGAATGTGATGGAAGGGTAAAAGTCTCAATCTTGAGTTGATGTCCAAATTGATTTCAGCTTGGTGTTGGCCTTGCAACTGCTCACCTCAGAGATAGTGTTAAGAGTGTTCTTTGTTGTTGGCTTAAGGGTAAAGATAAAGCTTTTAAGGGCACAAATCAGAAATTACTTTCTTGAGACACGGTGCATATTTCTTCACTTTCTAACACCCCCACACTTTGAAGATGAAGGCTAGTTATGGTGAAAAGGAGACATGACCATCCCACCAAACTGTGTGTGATTGGTTTCCCTTTTTCTTTCATTGCACCCTCCTTTTGAAGTTGTTCATTTGTAGAAAAATGCGAACCACCTTTGAACAATCAATGTGGCAAAAGAAACCTGAAAATTAATTGGGGAGATTGTGGTTGTTCTTTAACCCTAAAAATTATGTATGTTAATACCATCGGTAACTTCATATATTAGATTTGATTACCCTGTTAAATGAGGTAAAGCATAAGGATCATATAGCAGGTAGTCATGTTTTTTTTTTTTTTGGTATAATGAGACTTGTGATCGAATAATTGTGATGCACACGGGATTAAAAGAACACAAATGATAGAGTGATGCATTAACGTTTCACATATGTAGCCTTCGGATCTCGAATTTATAGAGCTAGTGAAGAGGAAAAGGAAACGCAGAACATAGTTGACACAAAGCGTACATAAAGATTGTCTTTAATTTTACCATCTTTGCATTTTTTCTGTGTTCTTTCTTGTTTTTTGATCTTAGAATCGTGGAAACAATAAATTTTCCTCGAATGGTTAAGGGAGAAGCTGAATCAACGTCATCATCTTCATCAAGGCACTTGCAGAAAAATTAGGCTTCCTGATGAATGTGCAGATGGGGAAGAAATACTGTTGAGAAATGAAGCTTCACATTTCACCTCTTTGGAACTTTGATACTTCAACTCCACCTACATGAAGTCACTTTAGCATGTTATAGTCATGATGTGGTTACTTTACTCTTCAGCTTTTACAAAAAAAAAGTTGCTACAGCTAGGTTTCGTCCATCAACATAATTTGAACAACCTTACAGTTCTCAATAAAGGATGTCCAGCTTTAGTAAGAACTCTTGCGTCTGGTAAACAACAGTTTGCAAATTTGGGAATGGGATGAATAGAACCTTTATTACGGAAGATATGGTGGACCTATCTTCCACCAAACACTGAAGGTGGATTCTTCACGTCTCACTTTAAGGCACTTTAACCAGATAAGTTTTAGGCAAGATTGTGGAAGATAAAAAGGGATTATCAGAGCAGTTGGCCTACTTATGAACAAGCAGCACTCTGCACAGTACTGACTGTAAAGGTACAGCAGCCGTGAAATTAAGAAAGTTGAATCAAGGATCAGTTAGTTGGTTCAGAGTTTTGAAAGTACACAAATAAGTTGAAATGGAAAGATTGTCAACATACATTGATCGGACGATTATCACAATACATCCTTGGAACAACTCCTATGGAATTCAAACTCCTATTTCATTGCTAAATAATAGATTCTTGTCACATGAACAAACCATCTCTGCACAATCCATCAATCAAACAACCAGAAGTCTAGCCCGGCATCAAAACACAAACAATCAAACATGTACATTGTACTGCTCAGTGGCCAGGCAAGCAACATTGAGAATCCACACACAAGAAAGATCCTAAGCATTATCATCAATGGAAGTCTTCAAAGTTCAAATTAAACGTCTTCAACTGTCACAGAAGGCGATTGGTGAAGCTGTTGAGAGGTCTGAGAAATGAGGGACTGAAGCTTGGCAACAGCAGAGGTCTTCTCAGGAGGACACTTGGAGAGAGAGACGGTCAACGACTGAAGAGCCTCATCAAGCTTCCCAACGGCAAAAGCTGCACAACCAGCTCGGTAAGCTTCATCTGCAATCCTGGCATCGTATTGAGAAGCTGCAGCAGTCGGCGGCTGGTCAAAGCCCTTAGTATTACTAGTATCATTCACGTTGAGCGGCGACAGAGAGTCGAGCCGAGCAGTGGATCGCTCACTCTCCAATTTAGTAATTGCAGCATCGATCTCAGCCATAAGCGCTTCTGGACTAGATGGGAATTTCTTGATCCTATCAAACACGCTCCACGATTGCACCGACCTACCTTCTTCAGAACCCATTTACTCCTTTTGGAAAAGGATTTTGGGAGATTTGGATTAGCAAGACCAAAGAACAAAGCGTTCCCCACCACAATTTCTGGGTACTTGAAAACCCACCTCCAAAAGCTGGAAAAGACTCCAACTTTAATCTTCCCCAAACACCATGAGCCGACCCTTTTCACGAAATCACGTCGCGGGACATTTTCCAAGTAAGAAAAAAGAGTTTTCTTGGTCGAATTCTTTCTGGGTGAAGAACAAGAACACAGGAGGTATAAAAGAGCGGCAAACGTTTACCTCCGCCTCGTGTTGTACTGAATTTCTGAAGGGAAAGTTCAGTTCTCCGGCCAATCTGGATGTATCAGCACAACAATTCAACGCGAACTGAACTCACGAATATCCTGGGATTTGGAAACTGACGAACTGAGAACTGGAATTTTCAAGTCTTCGAGTTCTCTCCCTCAAAAAAAAAAAAAAAAGTCTTCGAGTTCTCTATTTTGATCCATGCAACACTGATTATGGGCCTGGACCATTCTGTCACCAGGCCGTAGGCCCAGCTCCTATCAGTTACCTCTTACCTACTAAACGGTGAGGTGTTCTAGACTTCTAGTGGAGCGCTGGCACTGGCAACCAGTGCGGTTGCAGTTAATCGCACTGAAATTTGCGATTAACCGCAATCGAAATGGAGTCATACATGTCAATTGTAATCGCTCCGCAAACAATTAGCTATTAACCATAGTGCAAAACATTTTCACCACAACAAAGTGTCAGATTGAAGGTGCTGGCGTACTATGACCGACAGCTATGAAGGCGGTGTGTCATAGTCAATGGTGTCTTGCGGGGAGCCCTTGTATTTTGAAGAGTGGATTTCGAAGACGACAACATTCAGTTCAGGAGAGAACTGGAAGGACCTTTGTATCTCTTATTCAATTTGCAATTAAACATAAACCACGCGGTTAGTTCTTATTCGATTGCTATTGCAGTTAAAAAACTAACCACAAAACAACCAATATCATTAATCGCAAACCACACAAGAGCTTTCTTATTTAAATGTGCAATGCCATGGAACTCTGAGTCCCGTGTCAATCGTGAACCGGACTCCCAGAGAACAAGACTTGCAAGGCATCACAACCGAACCCAGCGTCATACAACGATCGTCGTCCGCGTCGTCTTCCTCCGCCTCCGGCGCCTCGAACCACACGCTGCCAAATCCCCTGCACAGTTTGTATCCCATCTTCGCCAAATCTGTGGAATCGATCGAGTAACAACTCTCACACAAACACGGATAAAGAAGCTCAATGACGTGTCTTCTTTTCACATCTACCATGAACCCCACATTCATCAGATTGATCTCTTCGATGACTCTGGCGTTCCGCCTCCGCCTCGCCGCCGGGAGCTCTTCGTCGTACTCGGCTCGCCACTGGGTGTCGCTCAGTACTTGAAATGCCTTTTGGACTGCTAGGGATTTCTCGTCGTCGTCATCGGCGGCGGAATCCGTGATCGTTGTGGCAGAAAGGTAGGCGGCGCAGATTTCTTCGTAGGTCGCGTTTGGTTCCACGGAGAGGATCTCGTAATGGGTTGCCTGCTTGACAGATCTCTTTCCGCGCGGCCGCTTGACGGGGTTCTTGCGGCGTGGCTGCTTGGCGGAGCTCTTGCGGGGAGGCATCGCGGGTTAGAAATGCTCTGATTGAATGAAGAAAAACCACTAGAAGAAGAAGAAGAAGTTTGAGAAGCAAGTAGGAACTAGGAAGGGAAAGGATAAGGAAACAGAAGATGAGAAATTGCTCTTTTTCTAGTCTTTTTCATGGTCTCAATTTTCAAAATTTTCCATGCTTTCCCGCTCATCCAGCTCCCGCTCAAATGTATTGAAAAGAAAAGGAAAGCTTTTGAAACGAACAGATTTAGCTTAAATGATGTGCCTGTCAGCCTGTGTATGTGGGTATGTGCTTCAAGCCACCGAAATATCATCACAGACAATAGAAAAGAGCTGAGATGTTCAGTTTAATGGGACTATGGGAGTGACCAACCTGATATGCAAAACTACCAACATGAACTACACCTGGCCTTAGCTTCGTTGGACTTACCAGGCGGCTTGCTGCCAAGCCCAAAGTCCTAATCAATCTCTACCATCCTTCTTCTTCAGTTCTTCTTCACAGGAGAAGCAGCAAGCAACCCCATTTTGCTGTCTCTGCTTCCTCCACTTCCTTTACATTCTCAATCTCCAACCTTTATTGGGTCTAATCCCCTCGATTCTGGTTCTGAGATTGAACATCAAATGCTACCAAATGGAACTTTAAGTCCGGTCTCAATCGACAACCGGACTCGCAGAGAACAAGACCCGCAAGATATGACAACCGACGCCGCCGCTGGCCTCGAAGCATCATCTCCGTCGTCCTCAAACCACACATTATCTCGATCCCTCGACAGTCTGTACCCCATCCTCTCCAAATCCGAAGAATCCACCGAGAAACAATCCCCACACCGGCAATCATAACAAAGCTCCACCACGCCACTTTCCTCAACCACCGTAACCCCCACATCCATCAAATCGATGTCCCCCGAAACGCTCGAATCCTGCCGCCGTCTCGACGCCCGCAGCTCGTTGTCGTACGCCGCTCGCGACCTGGAGTCGCTCAGGACTTCCCATGCCCTCTGGACTCTGAGGAATTTCTCGTCGGCGGCGGCAAAGGAATCCGAGGTGTTCTGCTGCGATCTGTCGGGGTGGGAGTTGAGGATTGCGGATCGGTAGCCGCTGCGGATTTCGTCGTAGCTGGCGCCTTCTTTTACGGAGAGGATCTCGTAATGGCTTCCCCACTGGGCCGAGCTCTCGCAGCGATTCATAGCCATTCGCCAGAAACCCAATATCCGATTCGATTGAAAAACAAGGAAACGAACAAGATTTCTGGCAAATTCTCGGATTATCTTTTCTCGGCAGCTAGCCGGAGCGAAAGAAATCAGGCGACGGGTGTGTCTTCTTCTCCGTCCGCCAGCCGATCTGCGGCGCTGCAACTCTTATTTTAGGGTTCCCGAGCCCAGACTTGAGAGTTCAGTGTGCAGCTCGTATAGTCGTATTGGTGGAATGGGGAAAATTACGCTTGTAGTCACCAAACTTTGCTGTGAATCCACACTTGGTCACTAGATCGTTAGAATTGGATAGTTTGAAAGCTTATAGAGTTTGAAATACATGGATTTCACGGAACACAGTATTTGACAGGCAACTAGCAGAAAGTGCTTAGTTGGAAGGAGTTTATGGCTGCACAGGCTATTAAAAGGAACCAAATTGGTTTCGAAAGGACAAAATCCCAAACTTCACGCGAACCAAACAAACACCAACTGTGATTTGTATAATGTTGTTTGTTTCCCGGTAGATTCTGCTACAGAGACAATGCCCCAGAAAACGACTATTTGTTCATTCCTTTCTAATGGGAAAACAGAGATGACTTTTGAGTTCCATTCTCGGGTACTTTTATAATTGACGAGACACTGGAGAAAAATAGTGGACAGAAAGCTATATTACAGTGCTGACGAATTCCCAACTTACAACTCAATCTAAACTCTGCTTCTGATTCATAAACAAGGTTCCTCTGTTCGTGTCTATACCCGTGTTATGTTTCTGGACTGGGGCAAAGAGAGTTTCCCCGATCTTTTTCCGAAGCTTAGTGGTAACATCAACCCCGTGTCATCTGCGCGAAAAATCGATTCTGATAATCCACCTGTAAATCACCCTTCTCTTTCTTCACCCCATAAAAACTAGAAAAGGCCCAAAAATGATTTCAAAGGAAAAGGGAAGACTGAGGGGGAAAAATAGAACAAAAAGAGTGCTATGAAGTTCATCATTTTAGAGCCTCAGCTTCACACCTTTGTCAAAGAATTTTGTCTATGGTAAGCGATGCGCCCAATTGGGTTTGGGATGAAGAACTGCTATCTGACGACCCCTGCAGCCCAGGGAACGACCACTGGAGCATTGGGGTGGGAGTTTCTGTACGCTTCGGAGTATCTGTCCTTGAAGTTCAGTTTGGGTTTCTCTGCCTGCAGATTAGAGGGAGGGCACAAAGGTTAGAGTCCAGGAGCTGAGTCGGGATTCTAATTAGATCACGGTAACAAACTTTATCAGATTACGTACGTATTTCAGCCAGCACTCCATATTCTTGTGTTCGTAAATATCAGGCGAGTAGCAACCATTCTCAGCTGGGCAGTAGACCCATATGTTGCACTGCAATTCACCCGGTTTGGCACGTTTTGCATGGTCCAAGCATGCTTGACAGCAATCAGCAGCACTTTCTTTACGATGGGTAAGCCCCCATCTGACAGCCACTCCATCATAATCTGTATGGAGCTCGGCGTGGCATTCTTGTGGAACGGGTGGACCAGGCAAAGTTTCTTCTTCTACAGAGCAGCACACTTGTATCAGCACATAAGTTACAAACTTCAACTTTCCAAATGAATTGCCACAAGAACGGTGATTTCATATAAAAATATTGAAATTCTATTTGCAACTAAATTCGTTCCCAACAGGCTGTAAAAGTGTAAGATCCCATAAAAGTAATTTCATATTGAACATAAATCAGATGTATTCTACCAAAAAAAATCAGATGGATGGAAAATTCTGAACCACAAATGTTCGATTTGCCTACCTTGCTCCTCTTGACCCTCTGGTCTATCATCCTGCTCTGGATTAGTGACTTCAGCAGGAATCCAAAGGCCTATGTTCTCCGAGAGCACTGCCCAATCGGATTCCAGGGCTTTTACCAGCAATCCTACAGAACACGCAGGTAAGTGAGTAAGCAAAATGACCCTAAAACAAAGAACACTTCCCATGTATCCTGTAGACTTCATGCAGGTAATTGTAAGGTTTTTGTTTTTCACTTAGAACAAACAACAGCCTTGCAAGGAGAGCGAGATACCAGCTTCTTCCTGAACAAAAGTTGAATTCCCTCCTCTATTAAGATTAATTGACTGCTTGACTTCTAGTAGCTTCTCATTGCGCCATTTTTCAACTGCTTCTGCTCCCAAAACAAGAAAGTAAGAAGCTAAACTAGTAAGATATAAATATTCCACAGTGTAGGAGCTCATTTCATATGCCACAGTTGACACATAAATACCATCACGGGAGAGAATAGTGTATTTAACTTCAAAGCTGAATGGCTTTTAACAGGCTATATAAGCAAATTGCTGTCATCAGGCAGTTAATATAAGAAAGTAAGAAGCTAAACTAGTAAGATATAAATATTCCACAGTGTAGGAGCTCATTTCATATGCCACAGTTGACACATAAATACCATCACGGGAGAGAATAGTGTATTTAACTTCAAAGCTGAATGGCTTTTAACAGGCTATATAAGCAAATTGCTGTCATCAGGCAGTTAATATAAGCCATATTAACATGGCTATACGTGGGCCTACTTAAAATTTAAGTGCATATCTAGAGTGAACTAATCCATGAGATGCAAGAACGTAACAGAAACCATAATTAGAGCATAGGGTAAGCGCACCAAAAGTGTACCCAATAAGTGGGGTGAACAGAATAAGTTAGATTGTCACAACCATCACCATTTGTAAAAGAAAAGGTTACCAGCTTTGCACATAAGAGGCCCAAAAAGTTCTAAATTCTTGGAACTAAACACCAATGCCACCACCACTCTCCTCCTTAGCAACCACACACTTCCAGGCAAGTTATATATCTAATACTTGCTCAGAAAGGAAATATTTGAGCTGTAGATTTGAGAAAGGAAAACTGGAACTTAGAGTGGAAGGTGAGGAGTTCATATTATTGTTTTAGCGAAAATTTAAGGAGCATTCTCCAAAGGATGGCAAAGAGGCAGATGACAAACTAAGAGCATCTAACCAACCATTGGTAGGCACATGAATGAGAGATTTTCTTCCACGTTTTCATGATGAAGATCAACACCTTTGAAACAAATGAAAACGCATGAACTCTTAGAACCTTAAATCTTAATAAAATGCATATGAAACCTCACTGTTCCTTAGCATCTCTTCCACCTACACCTCCGGGCGACCGAAAAAAGGTTCACAAACTACTAAGGAATACAGTTCAACCTACCGGTTCCAAGTAAGATAATAACCTATTTGTATCTACAGTGCAGCATTGTAAGAGGCTAAGGGCAACATCAATCCATCCTTTCACAATCTACAAATTCTCACTTCAGCTAATCCAATTGATGATACTTGATTCAATATCATAAGATCTGCAATTAGCAATTGTTGCTCCAAGGGAGGGTAACACAATGCATAGGAACTGCAGCCATTACTTACCTCGCTGCTCGTTGATACTGGCATCACCAGACAAACTTCTCAATCTCTGGAGAATCTCATTCGTTAGATTGTGTTTGACACCCGCCGGCAATTCCACTATGTCTCGTTCTCCAAACTCAAATTTCAGTTTTTTCACCTTCAAACCACAAAACAGAATTCCCCAAGCTCCATCAGCACAAACACTCACTCACACACACACGCAGTACCAGAGAGCAAGCCCTAGACCACTCACCAATTTCTTAAGCTTCGTCGGCTCACTGGCTCTCCGAATCCGAATTGACTCCTCCATCTTACTAATCTCATCTGGCGTGTACTTCACAGCTACAGATAGAACAAAAATCATTCACGCAAACGAGTTCTACGGAGAATCAAAATTCCAAGAGATCAACAAACAAGATTCTACTACGCAAATGGAAACGAGAAGAGAGGGGGAGCAGTGGTACCGTTAGCTAAATCATCGTTGGAGTAGAGGTACAGTGAGCCGTAGAGAGAGCGAAGAACGTAGAGAGCGATGACAATGTTGACGGAGCAAACGATGAGAGTCGTCTTCTTGTACGAACATCCCCATTTCACTCCTCTCGCCATCTCCAGCTCCCAGCTCTCCTCCTCCGCCACCTCATCCCACCACCATCGTTATCCAATTTCCCTCCGCCGGCAAACTCCCCAGCCTCCGTTCTCTCGGTGCTCGAGCACGGAAGATCCTTCCCGGTTTCCGGCGACGGAGCAGATAGATCGAATCGGCGGATCGAAGCAAAACGAGTGAGCGAGCGGGCTGACTGGCCGGACTGGGGATTTTTTGGTTCCGCGATTTGGGGGAAATTTCTTTTTTTCTTCTTCTTCCGGACGCGGCAGGGGAAGAGTAAAAGCGGTTGCCGTCGTTGGACGATCCCTTCTCTCTCTTTTTTAGTTTTTTCTCCTTTTCAATAAATGATGATCTGTTTTTCTGTTTTTTATTTATCTCCGTCAAATTGCTCGCGCTACAGAATAAGCAACCAGCACAGCACAGTAACGCTGTAACTCTGTAACTCTGTGAGTCTGTGACACATAAAAGTAAAACGCATCGTTGAAGGGAAGAGTTGCGTGGTGCCGTGGTCTATAGGGAAGACAGTGAAACCGGTTTATTGGTGTGATTCTCTGAGACTAAGGCATCGTTTGGAGAATGAGATTTACATACAGTTTGATATAAATGAATTTCATAAATTTTGATAAATTCATTTTGAAATGAAATATTTTTGTGTTTGGTATTTAAAATAATTCATTTTCAATTCTAAATTTTGAATTCTATAGAATTTGAACTAGTTATAGCAATTCTGAGGAATTGAGATGGAATTTCCAAATGAATTCCACAAGTATTTACTAATTATAATAGAATGACATAATTATCTTTTTTATTAACTAAATTAATTATATATATGACATACCAAACACAGGAATTCGACAATTCATTTTATTTCTAAAAATTTGAATATGACATACCAAACACAAGATTTCATTTGACAATGAATTCTACTCGGTAATTCATTTTACAATGAAATGAATTCTCGATTCATTTGGTACCAAACGGTATGTTAGAGCGTGGATTCATTGAATTCGTAGATTTTGTAGAAAGTTATGTTTTTTTGTTGCTTTTTGTATTGTGGATTTTATGTTTAGAGATTTCAAATCTCTAAAATCTACGAACAGAGGATTGGTCTAGTGGTAATACCACTAGCCATGAACCTGGAGGTACCAGGTTCGAATCCCTTCAGTAGTACCTCATAACAAAAAAAATAACCTATATCATCCTTATCTAAAAAAAATAAAATCTACGAATATCAAATCTCTCATAATCAGAGAGATTCTATATCTTGATTCGCGGGATTTTTTTTCTCCTACCTTTTCTCTTTCTTTTATTTATTTATCATATTAAATATATTTATCAACAAAGTTTTTAATATTTCTCGAACTACTCTAATTTTCTATTAAGGATAAACATGTTATTTAATATAATTTTTTATTTTATTTTCAATCACAGTTACCAAACAATAAACATTTTAAAATCTATTTTGAACAATCCGAAGAGTTAGAATCTTTTTTTTTTTTTGTCAATCTTCAGATGGTTGACAATCTATAGATTTAAACTCATATTCTCCAAACGACCCCTAAAGTAGTGATGGTAACGGGCCGGATTGGATCAGGTTTCTCGAAAGTCAAACTCAATTCAATGGGGTGCATCCGTAAAAAAATTGATAAAATACTTATTGGGTTTTGGAAAATAAAATCTCTCCAACCCAATGGGTAATGTCACGACCAAAATGAGTCTCGTCCCGTGATAGGTGCCACAGGTTCATTGATATCCATAGATTCGCGGGTATAATTGAAAATAATGTATCCAAATACCTACATCGTAAATTATAACAGTTGTAATATATCTCCAAAAAGACTAATAACATCCACAAATTATTTATATTATTGAGGTTAGATACAAAATGACATCATTTTACTCTTTGGATGTGTAAAAGGGATCGAGATGGGGAAAACTAGGGATTTCAGACGAAATGAGAAACGATGATTCTCAGTTGAAGAGGGTCTGGAAGATGGAAGAAGACAAACAAACGGACTATTGTTTTTTGTCTTGCAATTTTCGCTGGGCTTTAAGCAAACAGGTCCACACGAACACAAAACACAACAAGACTGAAGACAGAGGGCTAAGATGGATTATAACCAAAAAGCCCAGTCCACAGTTCAGAACCCAGTTATTTTCCCTTCTTCTTTGTTCGACTATTATTCAGTGAACCGAGCAATCTCGAAGAACAGGACAATTGCAAAAAACGAAATTGCAAAAACGAAACAGCAGAAATGTAACAGAGACATGATGTTTTTCAATGTGGTTCACCCGTGGTGCAATGGTTACGTCCACATCCTAGAGATCAGCATCTGTCGTTCTCTAGGAGAGTTTATTCTAGATAGAAGAAAAGATCAACAAGACACCCACAATCCTGATTCCAAATCCAGAATCACTCAGACTCGGTTACACCCTTGCTAAATGAGATCCTATACCTCTGATTTACACAAGCCCTTTGATCCCCAGAGCCCTATACCGCTTTAATTTCTAAACTGATCAAAGTGTTGATCCTTTGAACCCGTATCCCTTTAAATAGGTTGCAGTCGAGACTAGCCGTTGGAGGGAATCCTCTGATTCTGGAAATCCCGCACAGAAGACTTGACCGTTGAAGGTGATTCCTGAGATTGGGGACTTTCCATTTCTATCCTGAATCAATCGCTAATTTCCTCCAACAATCTCCCTCTAAATTGGTGATTGCAAGTGAGTGTACTTGCAGCAAGAATAACAATAATATCTCCAAGCATAATAGCTCACGTACAACACAAATATAACCACCAATCAAAGACAATCAACCCAAGTCGGAGCTTAATCAAGCAACCAGAAAACAAACCCTTTTTTTTTACAAAATATAATCTTCATTGATCGAAACAAAAGATAGTTACATCCTGGAGCGCAGCCAGGCCTAAAAATCAAATAAACGACTCGCAGTCGGGTACAAAGAGAGGGTCTTACGAGCCACCAAGTGGGCTACCCTATTGCTACGCCGACCTACAAATCTAACACTAAACCCTGAGCGAACCGCCAAGTGATGAATAATTTCCGCAAGAATAGCACCAATCCTACTATCACTAGCATCTGCATGGTTGATTTTGTCAATAATGACCTTAGCATCCCCCTCAAAACACACCTCCATGAAACCGCGATTCAGGCACCACATGATAGCTTCCCGGAGCACCAACACCTCTACTACCATGGGATCATCAATGCCTGGGAACTGAACCCCACCAGCCATAAGGACCCCTCTAGCCGGGGTCATGATAACAATCCCCCCAGCTGAGTGGGACCCCCTCCTCGTAGCCCCATCCCACATGCACACCAGCCTATCAGCCTCCACCGGAACCGGTTGAGGAGGGGGAAGGGCAGAAGAGCGAGAATTCTGATCCACAGGCAGCCCAACCCATTCCTCATACTGCTGGTTGTACTGACGCATCAGAGCAGGGATCCCAAACTGCTTGCCGTCGAAGACAACCCAGTTTCGAGACCGCCATATTCGCCAAAGGACAGCAACAACCGCCATGAGAATGGATTGCTGAGTAATCAGAGCCATTAACCGCTTCAGAAACAGGGAAAAGGTGTGTTGAGGCAACCCTTCTCCCAGGGAAGCCAGCCCCGAATAGTCCCAGAGCGCCCGAGCCACCGGGCAATAGAGGAATAAATGTTCCAAGGTTTCTGACTCGGCCCAACACAACGGAAACCTAGGTAAAACCGGAACATCCTTGACAATGAGGGCTTCCGTCGTAGGAAGCATGCGATTCAGCATCTGCCAAACAAAACCTTCAATTTAGGGGGCAGATTAGCCTCCCACAGCCTTATCCAACTAGCCTTATCCATCCAGCTAACCTCCGACCTCCAACTACCCTTCCTTTTATCAAGGGTGACAACTAAATGATAGGTCGACTTCACCGTGAAAATGCCTTCCGGAGTATTATGCCAAATCAGCTTATCCTCCACCGGCAATCGCGGAAGGGGGATGGCTTTAATGGCATTACAAGTCGGAGGGTCGAACCACTGAGTCAACTTCCAGTCACACCACCGGCCCCCTTCCGGGCTGATCACCTCTGCCACCATCGGTTCCCCCTCAACTGGCAGGATCTGGGGTTTATACCTAGGAGGATCAAGCTGTAATTGAGGAATCCAGCTAGAATGGAGTAGGGGAGCAGACTGCCCATTACCAATTTGCCAACGCAGCCCTGCTTCTAATAACTGACGGCCATACAGAATACTCTACCACCCCCACGAGGGACGAGATCGTGCCGTGGCCGATAGGAAGGACCCATTCGGAAAGTAATTCCCTTTATAGACTTGAGCTAGGAGGGACTGGGGTTCCTGAAGGAGGCGCCAACCAATTTTAGCCAAAAGAGATTGGTTGAAATGCTCAAAACGGCGAAACCCCATTCCTCCATCATGCTTACTCCGGCACATATTCCTCCATGACATCCATCGAATTTTCGACTGGTCCTCCTCAACGCCCCACCTCAAAATCACCAAAGACAAATATTCAACTGACACTACTCAAGCCAGAACCTTCTTCTCAAAATCCCTCAAGGAAAAACTCAAACTGGAATCTCTCTCTCAAAACTCACGCTAGACTCCCTCTCAACAGGTGACACACCCGACTTAATCAGAGTCTTCATCGAAGCTGTAATCCACCAACAAGCCTGCAACCGCAACATCAATCAAGGGAGCACCATCATCTGAAGCACCATCGTCTGAGTCATCGTCGTCGCTTTCTGCTGCAACCCCCCCCCCCTCAATTACAATCTCGAGTAAGTCAAGTACATGGTCCTTCAACATGAAAAATGTATGATACTTTGTGCGGAAAGGAGTGATAGAGACACCAAGATGCAACGCCAGACGAGTAATCATGAGACCAAGAGGGAGGGAATCGGGGGAAGGAAGAGTCTGCATAGGTGAGAAATATACCGAAGGCGAGAGAGGTGTAATCAAGGGGCACGCCGTGCACCACATGATTCATCACCCACAGATCGAGCGACAAGATACGATCAAGAGACTGAGTGCGAGGAAGGAAAATCCTGGTGATGGCAAAGTGTAACACCCGAAGCTGAGCAATGACCAAGTTGACATGCAAGGAGAAGTCTGGACCAGGATGAAGACCCGTGAGCTGAATAAACTCTTCGGCAATGTTGAATTTGAACATCCAAAGTTCAGCGGCATGAGCCAACGATTCCCCTTCTTTGAGAAACTCCAGAATATTGGCCAGATCAGCAACATGAATGGTAACAAGATGGCCGAAAAGGACAGTTGAAAAGCAGCGAGAGCTGAGGCCATAGAACTGATATTGGAATAGTAAAACCTGACAATTTC